ACCCCGCATTGTGATCCACAGGTTTCTTCTCTTGTGGGAGCAGTGTACTCCTCTGGGGCAAGAATTATCACTGAGATCAAGAGAAGTTTTGGGTGAGTCACAACACACCAGGCTAAGGCATGATAGCTGCTTGTGAATAAGTGGATTAGAGTGCAGTTTAATGGTTGCTGTAGTTTAGGCAATACGTCAAATCTCAGTTAAAATTAGATATTCTCTTAAATGTATTCAAAAGAATTTTTGGATTATGTAATGTGTAAACCCAATTCCCTAAGGGTTTAATATGATACTAGCAGTTCTTTACTTCAGTTTTGTGTTGCAGACCATTCACAAGCAGTCCGTATGTGTAGCATGCTGAAGCAATTTTGCAGTGTTGTGAGATTACCAGAGCAGTGGCATGATGGTGATGAGCATCTGCATTCAAAACCTCTAAGAGAAAGAATGGGATTGGAGATCATCTTGAGAATAATCTGTTTACCAACATTTTACGCCTATTGAGGTTTTCTTGTATTAAAGGACCTTACCCTCCATTGATGGTGCTCCTCTGGGGAGCAGGTGTTAAAGAGTGGACTGACCTCAAGGCTTAATACCCCAAAGAGAGGTGGGGGTGGGATTTGGCAGGATCTGGGAAACAGGAAAGGAAGGGAGAAAGGGTACGAGGACAGACTGAGATGCAGAGGGAGGAGACTGGGCTGTGGATCATGTAGGTGTCTCTGGAAGAGATGTAGGGTAGATGGACAGATGTACGAGGAGGTGGGGAGGGTATGTCCAGGGCCAGAGAAAGAACAGGACAAGGGCAGGAATGGGTGAAGGATGACTAGGACATACAGTGTCTCATCCTCACCGCTGTGCTCAGGACTTGATGGCACTGTATGTCGATACCTGTGAGCTCACTTGGCTGCATGTGTGTGTGTGTCACCCTCTTCTGCTGGCTTTTTCTCGGAGGACTATGGCTAGCTACAGCTGCTCCATTTAGGACAGCAGACGTGGCTGTGTTGAGCTCTGCTGCTGGCCCGTCTGAGGGGACATCTGCTTCCACTGGAGAAAGCACTGACCTTGCGAAACAATGTTCAGGTGTTAAAGATCACCAGCATGACGGTTTCTGATTAATAACATGTGGTCAGGCTGTTTATTTTTTCTAGGAGATGCTTTATTCTGGCTTCTGTGACAAAGGATGCTACAGCCTGCAGCACTTTTGCTTTCCTGCCTGCAGAAGTGGGAAATACAGACCTCTAAACAATGCTGCAAGGGGGTGTCTGGGGTGACCAGAATTTAAACGTGTTTAGTTGGGGTGGGAAGAGAGACAGCCCGACAGCCCAAGTCTGAGTGATTTCTCAGGACATTCTGGTTGAACAAGGAGCTGAAAGAGGAGGGATTCATTGAAGTGTTGGTTGAAAAATCCTAGTGCTCATTTAACCTTGAAGGCATTTAAAGTATCAGCAGATGCTTCTCAAAGGTACTTACCAACTGTATGAGGGAAACTTCAGGAAGAAGGTCCAAAGTTTAAGACAGGCAATGCTGCCCTGGAGTTCTTGAATCACATCCCTGCCTCCTCCTGAGTGTTGCTCAGTAATGTTATTATTTTATTTTTAAATTATTTTTGTCATAGTGCCAGCTAATTGTTCATTCTTTGGTTTCTGGCTCTGATTCGGCATGTAGTTCTCTTCATACTCTATTTGCATCTTTCCATTCTGCATTTTTGATTCCTCCTTGACTGTGGGATGGGTGAGGAAGGAGTGAAGGAAAGAGAGAAAGTTTGCCTCTCCTCTGGGGTGGTTTGCTGGCCCTGGCTTTGTGCCTGAAGTGCTGGGGCACTGGAGACATGACTCTGTCCTACTCCCTCCTGAGCTCTGTCTGCTTTGCTGGAAAATATAATGTGCCCAACCCCAGAACTCTCCCTGATTGAGCTGTGTGACCTGAGCCTGGCTAACAGAGGGTAAAAGGTGTTGAGGTAATTGAAGACAAAACCAAGTCCTTAGTCAGCTTCTACTCCTTTCAGCTTTACAGGTTGTTCATAAAACTCTTCCCATCAGTGTTTTATGGTGCTATATCACCCAATCTGCTAATTCATTTCATATGCCATGGTGGCCAGGTGCCTGTAAAATAAAATAAAATAAAACAATAAAATAAAAAAGATCTTTTTTATGACAGTTTATTCTGTTTTATTAATGATTAAAGTATTCATTGGTGTAGCTGCCAGTTAAACTTCACTTTATACCAAATCTTCAGGGATCCTTCTTGAATTTGCCAAGTGTGAGGTGCATTTTTCTGAAACATTTTCTGTCATTGACACTGTTATTATAGGCAATGTGGGTAGCTACATCTGTCTAACACCTTCCATTTCTGATCCTATTTCCTTATTAATATAAACATACAAGCAATGACATGGCACCTGGCTTTGGAAACACTTGCAGGATTGTATTTATACTGAAAAGGAGTGAACTGCTATAAATTTGCCTACAACCATGGACTTCAGTGAAGATACATCAGATTTCAGCAGATGAACATTTGGCATGTCGTAATCTTGTTGAAAATCAGCGGGTCTGTATACCAGGCAGTAAGTGTTGGGTTCAGCACTTGCGTTACTCCTAGTAAAAGGGATTACAGAGGCAAAGAGGTTAACTATGAATGATTACTCAACTGAGATGAACAACAAGTAGAGGTAAAACTATAAGGGCATGACCTCTTGAGCTAGCCTCGTCAATACAGTGAATAGAAATTATTTTCCATTTGTCAGGGTGAGCAGAGAATAATTTAGTATTCCTGAAATACATGGTTGGTTTGGAAAAGAAAGAAGAGATGCCAACCTTTGTGTGAACCAACACAATGAGCACTTTCTCAGCTTATCTCCAAAATAATAATAAAAAATCATGTATCTATCTAGCATCAATGGAGACAGATGAATTTTACCCTGGGAGGCTTGAAATTTGCAACTGGATGTATTTACTTTCTCAAAAGTTTGATATTAGACCTCTCTGACCATGTATGTAGTCAGCCCCCCAGATCCTTTGAAGGTTTTGAGGAGTAGGAAGGAATGAAGTCAGTGTCCAATACACATCTGACAGTCAGTAAAATCTGAGGGGTGGATAGATCATCCCTACTTCAATGAATACAAACAAATGACATATTTAGAAAGGCTGCATTTGTGTAAAGGCATGTTTGAAATGAACTTAAAACATCTAAGCCATATTTAGACAGTGACTGGAAAGAAGGAAGAAAATTTGATATATCAACAATTCAGAAAAAAAGGCAGAAGCAGTCTTTTGTTAATACTGGGGATTAGCATTTTAATGAGCTCAATCTTTAATGCAGGAAATTACCTAGTAAAAATGAGACTAGTTAACATTTGCAGGACACAACATATTTAAATGAGTAAAAGGCAGATTTTCAATGACATTTACATGTCTACTAGATATGATTTTTTCTCTAGATGATGAATTTTCTTTTAATGCTTATGCTATTTGCTCCCAAAGGTTAAATGGGAGTTTATTTACTATGATGGTGTTGAGAGGACTACTGGGGTTTTTTCTTCATCTCAGTGTACTTCACTATCACAAACAAGCTATCTCTAATTTCCTGATATCACCTTGTACACTGAAGACTGTGTCAAGAGGTGACTTTCTCTAGGTAACCCATGGGAAGGCAAAAGCAGTGATATTGAATGTAATTTTTGATAAGACTGAGACCATTTTGATCTCAGTTATTTAGATATCATCTTGTCATAGTGATTTCATGGCAGGACAGTAGGCTCAGTCAAGCCATCCCCAAAAGTTCACATAGAGAGGAAATAGACTGAAAAAGCTTGCACCAGCTGTATATGGTGAGAAGTACAAAATCACCACAGGAGTCAGAGCTTATTGAAGTATTTCTCCATAGAAATCACATTTGTTTATGGGAAAATATACTTGCAAGGTTAGCAGCTGGGCCGTGGGTTCACTAGCATAATTAAAAAATTATTCCTATTGTACTGTGTTAAAGTTTCAGTGCATCTTCAAATCAGACAATCTAGTTCTCGTCCTTGATGGTAAATGGGTCCAGAAATTTTTATTTATTTGCTATCTTTGTGACAAAGTGATGTTTTGTGCTGAAGGTTATCTGAAATTAAAATGATATATGGCTTTTTATATGACTTAAACCAAAGCCTTAACAATTCTGTTTTCCAAAGCAGCTAGTTGTTTGTAGTTATGTTATTCCCGTATTTTGGTTTATTAAAAATGGTTTCTTCTTCTCGTACAAACAAGAAAAGAAGTAAAGCAGAGTAGAAGTCTTGAAACAAACTTCAATCAAATGTGAAAAAGTAAACTGAAAGTAAAAAAAGAAAGAAAGAAAGAAAGAAAGAAAGAAAGAAACTAACAAACAAACAAACATTAAGAATATTCCCATCCAAGTAAAAATATACTTTATCTGGGACAATAACAACTGAAAAATTAAAAAAGAAATTTAGTTTGTATGATAATGTTCCTTTAGGCTTACTTTCTTCTATCTGCACTCTTTATCTTTTAATGCTATGTGATTCCAACTTTTACTGTATGGCATTTTTTTCTTTCTTTAAATGCCTAAGTTGGAAATGGGTTTCACAAACAACAAAAGCACTTTGTGTTGAAAAAAAAACCCACCCAACTGTGGTTGTTGTTTCCTTCTTTTTCTTTTCCAAAACAAAACTTAAAAATGTGTCTCTCATGATCAGTTGTTTCAGCTTTTGCATTATTTGGGTTCAGTATACATAAAACATCCACTAGTGCATTAGTGCTTTTCTTGCTATATTGATGTTGTCTTTTCTGACCCTGTTCTGCTCAGCCGAGACAGCCAGTGAGTGCCTGGTTTGCTCACTAGCTCTGTCTTCACAGAGCTCTTGTCCTTAAAAGCTCAGAGGGGAGGGTGAGTCCAACTTGTGAGGTGTAAAGTTTTGGTCTTGATCCTTTAAACTCTAAATATGGGGCTTTGGGTAAAACCTGTAGATTTCTAACAATAGCTTCTTTTTTTCTTTTCCCCTCCAATTTTAGGCTTACTTTAACCTTATCCTGTCCAATGGACTTGAAGAATTTTCCTATGGATGTACAGACATGTACAATGCAGCTGGAGAGCTGTGAGTGTCCAATTGCTTTATCTGTTGAAGAACAGGATTTTTACCATAACATTTGATGGTTACATAGTATCTACATTGTTGTATTTTTGTGGTGAGACTCAATATTCTTATTTTGTAAGGGAAAACCATGAAGGAACAGTGCTTTAACTGTCCATCACTGTATCATGCAGGTCCCCCGTCTCTGTGCCGATCCTGCTGCCTTCCTTTTGCCCCTCCTGGTGCACAGCGTCTCACCCATAGGGTCTGAGTCACTGCCAGGGATAACCACAGCCAAGCTGGGTAGGAGAAATTAAATTTCAGGAAAGAGCAATTAGTACACAGCCAGGGAGTAGCAATGTCTGATCAAGACATGCTATGGTCTTCATAAAAATGGAAGAAACATGCCTAATGAAGCAGAGGTCCTATAAGTACATTTATCCTAGTAAGCTAAACACAGCCAAGGCATGGACTTGTGTACTGGCATGCACTCATCGTATTTCGTAGCTGTCTGTAGACACCTTGTTTAAGTGCGCCAGCACGGAGCTTGTTTAATTTACTCTACGAAGATGTAGCCATTGCAGTCAAAAGACACTTCAGTGAGTCAAAGCCTCCCTCTTTCCCATTCACATCTCTCAGTGGTAGGTTCACAGGTTACAAAAGCGGCAGGGTTTAATTTTTTTTTGTAAGAGCCCAGCATCCTGCAGTCTAGAAATATATGTTTTGTTGGTGCCTACCAACTGCATCATCAAAGAATGATGAAAATAAAGCAAAAATTATACTGATACATAGGCATATAGAAATGTCATTTCAGTTGTAAACAGTATCTTTAGTTGGTCAGCAAAATTATTTTTTAGTGGCAAACCAGGGCAGTATTTCAGAACATAACAGTGTTACTTGTTGCTCTTAATAGAGTAATAGTGTGGTAATAGTAACTGGTAGCTAACAATAGCGACAGCAATAGTGCTGTTGTTAATCAGATAGTTTAAAAGCATATTTTAAAATATAACTAAGACAACATGTATTACAATAAAAGACATATTTCTCAGTCACAGTAATATTTGCTTTTTATGTTTTCCAGTCAATTACCACCTAACAAACTCTGATTACTTTATTGTAGTTGGCTACACAATGAATGATCTGATATTTGAGTGGCTAAGTGATGGACCTGTGCAAGTTGCAGAGGGTTTAACCTTGCCACAGTTTATTTTGAAAGAAGATAAAGAACTTGGTTATTGCACAAAACATTACAACACTGGTGAGCATTATTCTATTTTCTCTATTAATTGTTCTAATGGTATCTATTGTCAATTTGTAAAGCAAAAAGATGGATAATATTTAAAAAACATTGAAAATAAAATTTGATTCTGTTACATTTATTTTTAAATCTGAAAAAATGAAATAATCTCCCTTTTCTTTTTGTTTGTTTAAAAGATTTTGTTTCCAAATTTCCTTTAATTTCATTAAATATATTGTAATACACATATTTTAATAGCCTTAAAGTCTTTATTGAATTTAAAATCTTAAAAAAATCATAAGAAATCTAGTTGTTCTGATTTCCTTAAAATGAAACTTTTAAACAAAAGGAATGTTTTCTTAAATATTGATTCAGCACTTTTAAAGTACTGATTTTTCTGAGCTTAATTTATTTCTCCAGTATATCAAAATGCCAATGAGGAAAAATATCAGATTTTCACCAGCTTTTATGTGCGTTCTAATTTATGAAATGGCATAATTGAAGAGACAATGATTTCGTTGCTGATCTGAACACTGTAAAGACATGAAATGCTGGGAAAGTAAATGTTTGCTTAATAGTGTAATCTTTTCCCTATATTTGCTATTTTGAAGTTTCAAATATTGTCTTGTTTATCTTTAGCTTTGCAGAGCAGAGAGAACTCTGTTATAATTTGGAATTATCTACTTGGAGTTTATTTAATAGGGACAGCATTTAAAGAACAGTTTTCTGGGTGTTTTCTGGGATTAGATATAATCCCTCTCATCAAAAATAGCTTTTTCATCATTGCAGCCTAAGAGCCAATCTGGTTGCATCAAATACATTTGTTTCACTCTGTAAAATAACGTAATGTGAGAGGATCTGTCTCTGCCAAAAAGAAGTCACATTCAGTTCTTATGAAAAGAAAAATATTAGTTTTAATCTTTAGAAATACAGCTTCTCATTTTGAGGCCCAAAGTGCCAAAAAAAGGAAAACATTACGACTGCACAGTCCAAGACTCATGGAATGGGGGACTACTGTGACTTCTCATCTTTTCTCACACTTAAAGGGGATAATCGAGAGTAAATTCTAATAGACAGAGCTTACTCATTTGTAATTTGACTGATACAAATTTTAGCCATTTCCCAGCACATAACTCAAAATCTGAATAGGTGAGTTCATCTGCTTTTCTAATTACTGTCAGATTACCATCTTGCAGGGTCAAATATTGAAAGTAAGAGAGTGGGGAGAAATGAGGAATAGCTTGCTTGTATACCCACAAAGATTCCCCACCAAGGGTAAAAATACCAGTTAATAGCTCCCTTTGCATGTAATTAAACAAAATGAATGTATAATTACCAAAAGTGAAATGTATGTGGCCTGTGCAGGGGTAGAGAAAAGCAGTATTCAAGCAAAAGAAAACATTATGTACAGGCACCCACATTGCTGTCTTCTCTGTAGGATGCTCCTTCAGGTTTGCTATGAAATTAAAATGTGGATAAAAGCTGTATTATTCAGCTTTTTCCTCCTACCCACACTACAAAGCACTCTGTCTGGGTTGCACTGCAGGAATCTGGAGAGCGTGTGACAGACTAGGCTACTCTAATGCTACTCTGCCATTCCTGGCCACCCCACACCTTTGAGTTCCCTTCTGTAGGGGCAGACTGGTCAGGATCAGTTGCTATCCAGGTCTCAAGATCTGTTCTCAGGGTCACAGGTCAGGCCACTCATACATAAGCTTCTGTTCTGTCAAAATATATGATTCAGTTCTTCTGCCCTCCTCTCAAACTCCTGTCCTCCACCATCCCTGTGGAACATGTAACTGCTGTTTGAAGAATTACTCATATCCCACAAGAGATGGCTGTGAGTTTCCTGGAGTTAGACTTTTGGCAAAATTCAAAGTAGGCTTTGAGTTGATTCATCTGTGTGAAACAGTGCACAGACACGGGGAAATTACATGACCAGAAGGAGAAGGGGTGTGTTCTACCATAAGACTGTAAGACTAATTGTTTACAGTTTGTTTAAGCATGTTTGCTGATTCTCATGTATTTAGAAAAGCAAAATGCTGTCCTCTTTTAATACTAAGCACTAAATGTGAGGAAAGAAAAGTGCTATTAAAATTTGAGAAAATAAACATTGTATTACATTTTTCACAGGTGAAACAACCATGCTACTATTCATTTTCTCAGTCAATGTGAAGCAGTCTGCTTCAGGGGTCCCATGTGTCTCTCAAGCTAACATGCAACAAATGGCTGACTCACATTTGTGTATCAGGACCTGTTTTTAGTATTAGGTTAGGAAACAGGCCAGGCATCTAACTTGTGTTCAGAAAACAAGATAAAACTGTGCAAAAAGCATTTATGAAAGTAATTTCGTGTTCTAGGAAAGTTTACATGCATTGAAGTCAAGTTTCATTTGGAGCGTCAGATGGGATACTATTTAATCCAGATGTACATTCCTAGCCTGCTGATTGTCATTTTGTCCTGGGTTTCTTTCTGGATCAACATGGATGCTGCTCCAGCTAGAGTCGCACTGGGTATCACTACAGTTTTGACAATGACCACACAAAGTTCAGGATCGAGAGCTTCACTCCCAAAAGTAAGGAAATAATTGTATACCACTGATTTGTTATTAAGAATAAATATTTGTGCTATTTTTGAAGTTTCTTAAAGACCTGTGTAAATATGCATCTTATAAGAATACAGTAGAAAGTGGTAGCAGTGTGGTGTTAAACTGTTGCAATACACTTGCATTTGAATTAAGGCAAATTTCTGCAGGTTTGCTGGACAGCTGGAGGGTTCAGAGATAAGGATTTTTAATAAGTTTTTACTAGTTTTGGCACTTAATTTTCAGCATTTAGAAGCCACATTTTTCTGAAGTATTTAAGTACTTGACTGGATTTCTGAAAGGACTTTCATGAAAATTCTATCTGACTTGGGACTTCATAAACTCTGTATGGTCTTTTCTAGACTGTTAGACTCTCAAATATCTTGATGTTTCTAGATACGACACTTAGTCTGATGGATATATAAATATATAAATGTATAAATAAAATATATATATAAAGCATGTATAAATCTAGGTTTCTCTGGAGAATCTTTCAGTGAGGAACTGCTGATGTCTTTGCTTCACAGCAGAATTTGTCCATGTTCTAATTCAAGTGTCACCTGCAGATTTCTGTCCTGTCTACACACAGAAATATCCTTTTGCTCAATCTTTGTGGTCTTTTTAACCCAGGCCAGATAATGTAGGTGGTCTTACAGATTATAGACCGGATTCTTTGTTTAGTCAGGCTGATAGCTCTTTTCAGCATGGGCACAATCTGAATGCTTCTGCTGATAGCATTCCCAGCAGAATTTCATGTGCATGGTCAGGCTTTGTAGAATTTTCAGGAAAAGAGCTCAGAGGGAGATCAGTTTACAGCAGTCTAAGAAGTCACAAGATACACTCCCTGAAGACTCCTCTTTACAGCAGTCCAGCATCACAGGGACTGGGATCATAAAACCACTCTAGCAGCAATGAAAGCACAAATCTTGACTATTTGCACAGATCACGATCCATTCCAAACAGCATGTTGTATTTTGTTCTACTTTACCCTCAGTATCACATTAAATCTCATTCCAAATACTGTCATTTGTTCAAATGGAGCATATGTAGGACAACTTCAAAAACTGCACAGATTGTGTTACTCTTCTGTTGGTAATGAGAAAGCATCACTTAAAAATCTGGTGACTACAACACTTGGTTCAGCTTCACTTGTTCACTTGAAGTTATGTATAATTTTCCATGCAAAGTGAAAGTCTTTCACATATTAACTCAGAATTTCAAATTGATAATTTCTTAAACATTCATTCAGACAATTCAGTCAATATTACCAAGTAAAGACTCTGTAAAGAAAGTCAGCAAAGAGATAATCTTGGCAAAGAGCATGCAGGCTCTGTAGATGGCAGATTTGGAGTCACCAAAGATTGTATAGATGGTACAACAGGATTCCATGCTGTTATATTCTGAATTTCTTCCAACTTAACCAGCTTGAGAATTAGAGGTGGTACAATCCCTGTAGTGGAGATTTGCACCCACATTTCCAACTGCGCAAACATACCCTGCCAAGCTCTGCAGTGTTAGTATGCCCGAAATGCTGAAATGTTTCTCCATTTTGCATTCTGCCTTGTTGGAGTAGAAAAGTATTTGCTGGACAGTTTTCTGGGCTTCTGCTGAGGGCAAGAATGGAAAGATCCAAAATATGTTGACCGTGGCAATTTGATTAATGGTGAGGATCTTCTCCAGCCTCAGGATTAAATACATTTATCTCAGCAGTTGTCAGAGAACGGTGATGCTCTGGCCCTGCTCCATCGTCTCCTAGCGTTTTCTGCTGTGTTCCTTTGCCAAAAAATAGGCACTAAGGAAAAGTACCTCACCAGAGTCCAGCACACTTATGTCTGTCAGGCTACGTCTGGTTGCAATTCTGCTGTGTGATTCAGCAGAGCTGCACTTTACAGCTTTCGTCTCTATGTAAGTGAGTTAATCCTCATGGGGGCTTTTAAAGGAGCACCAGTTGACTTAAAAAAGTGATTCTAAGTAAATGTTAGCATACTTGCAAGCTGATTCCCACCTCGGATGACTCAGGTGCCTGAAGAAACATGAGACTGACCAAAACTGAAGTGCTTCAAAATACACTTTGTGTGCACGTATAGCCATGTATAGCCCTAACTGTCTGCTATCAGCAGTATCTGATTCCTTTCACAAAGCAACAGCAAGCTTTTCCTGCTGTTACTGGCACCTAGCTATTTTAAAACCTCATCTGTAACTTAATACCAAAATCATATTTCTTAATAAAACCTGTCCAGCTGAAATGCATTTAGAAATAAAAATATGGAAATAATTGAATCAAGTCAGAGCTAAATCTGAAGTCTCAAAATGGCTCTTTAAAAGGAATGTTTTTCTAAGTCTTGTCTGCATATTGCCAAGACATAGGAAGTTAGGCTGTCAATAAAACATCCATTTAAAAATTGCTCCAAGCATGAATATCTAACAGAATAGGACATGACAAGAGGGTTATTTTTGCAAGAGAACTGAAAAAAAAAATTGCAACTTTGCTTTGTGAAAGCAGCCTAGATTTCAATAAAAAGTTATATATTTCCCCATCCTTCTTGATGTCTTATTCTTATTAACACACATATATAAAACTTAACTTTACCTTTAATTCACCCACTGTCTCATGTCAAGACTTTATTATTATTATTCTCAATTTTAGTAGAGCTTTATCACAAAGAAAAAAACAACCCAGAACAACCAAAACTCAAAAAATCAAAACTCACCAGGTTTAAAGGGAATATTTCCTTTATCTTTTTGAAAAGGCAAAGAAGAAATGCAATGAGAAGATTCCTGATTAGGTTTTCTTGTCACTTTCCAAGTTACTGTCTAAATTATGAAAGTGGTACTGTTTAGAAATAATTACCTACATATAGTTCTCAACCTTGGTATAGGATTACATGACAGAGTTCTGTTTACTTAAAACTGCTCTTTTCCATATTAAAAACTAATATTCATTTTGATACACAGATTTTATAATGGCAGGTCACAGAAACACGGATGTTAGGCATTCAGTTGTTGAAAATTAAACTTAAACTTGAGACTGCTGAAAAGATGAAAAGGAGTGAAAAGCAAATTAAAGAATGAAATTAATTCCAGCTGATGCTCATGCTTGCTGCATATAAGAGAAACATCTAGAAAGCTTCTTCCAAATGAAATGTAATTATATTTATTTGGTAATTTTTTGTAGCATTTTTGTGAAATTAGTATTTTCATAGTATTTTGAAATTTTGGCTAAGAATATAGGGCCAAATTCCAATATCGGCAACATACTAATAAAGAAATCAATATGCATTTCCCCCCCCCACTCTTCTACAAAGATGATTCATTTGTTACAAAAAGTAAGAATAAACCATGAAAGAATTTACATTCCAACAAAGCTACTATTCTAGAGAGAAAGATCGGCAGTGCATGTTTCAGAAAGCAGAAATGTTCTCATTCTCTACAGTTTTAGCATATGCTGCGCAATACTCCGTCCTGCTTCCTTCATGAAATAATGATTTTCTGTATGGAGAGTATCTGCAGAGGAATATTCATCATGATCTCAGCCTCTTTTTTTAGCAATGAAATTATTTTGTTTGTTACAGAAGACTAACGAGGAGTCTTGTGACCAGAGTTACCCTTACTGGCTGTGTTAGGGAGGGGTAAGCAACTCGTCCAGAAAGCTGTCGTCCAATAGCCTTCCTCCAGTTTGGCTAATCCATTGCTCTGATGGCCAGGGATGGCTATCCAAAATAGCAGGGTTAGTATAACCAGTTTCCCTTCCCACACATTCATGTGTGTAAGCCTTAACCACATCTGATACTCTATTTTCAGATTTCTCTGTTTGTGTCATCGTTACCCACTTAGAACCTTTGGCTAGATAATTATTTGTGCACCCAGCTACTCCAGTAGCTCTTGCCACAGTCATTTGAGCAGATATACTGGTTGCCAGCAGGGTGGTCAGCATGACCACACGTCCACAGCAAAACCCTCAGGAAACTCTGAGCTTTCTATCTGAGTCCTGTGCACAAGTCAAGGGGCTCTCTTGCACCTAGGGATTGCTGGACTTCTGTGCAGAGAAACTCTATGGCACATAGATCAGGAATCTGGTGTAATCTACCCTTCATTGATGAAATACTCAGCATGTGTTTAGAACCAATGCCTTTTGCAAGTATTAAACCTCCAGCATAAAAATGGCAGTATGTATTCATCCAAATAAGAACTAAGGAAAGTTTGGGCATCATAGGGAGCACAGAGACATAGAATATGTCTCTATGTATTTTATGGTCCCAACTGTGTCTAAACTGGGGGATTAAAAGGGAAGATATCAAGGTACAATAGTGCAGCATTGCTGAGAAGTTAGAAAAGAGTAGTTCTCTTCAGAGCATAGAATGACTGTTCTTCTGCTATTCTATTTATTTTTAAAGAACTTCCCTTTTGTTGAGACAACAAAATCAAAAGTTTTAAAGCAATTTTGAAAGGCATATTTGAAAGAATCATGAGTTCTCTGCTGTGTTAGTAATTGGGTATTTTTCAGATTGCTCTTTTCTTAAAACACTTATATAAACCAAACCTTAGCAACAACAGTCCAAGAAAATGAATTACATTTAATGACATAAAGCAAAACATTTGAGGATACTTTAAGTCAAGTAAGTGGTAGCAACTGTATTTTACACAGTTGTATAGCATTCATTTTGTGTTACTTTAATGCTCAGTGCTTAATGAATGCATGCTCCTTCCCCAGGGAATAATATGTGCAGGAAGAAAGTCTCATTCAAAGCTTGCTGAAACCTCTGAGAGTCCTTCTATTCACTTCATTTTGCTTTGGATTACTAAATGCATTATCAGATGAAATAAAAACATTATATTCTAATAGGTGCACAGACTTGCAAAACCAAAGTCAATGACGTCTATTCCCTTTGGCAGTAAATGGCTGCTTTTATTTGTTGACCACTATCCCCAGCATTTTTGGAGACTTTTCAAGATTTTTGGGCTTCTAGCAGACCAGTCTGAAAAAGAAACAT